TGTTTGAAATTACAGCAGTTAGATACTGATAGTATCTTTTGAGAACACTTCAGTGGTGTATATCTAGTGAGTTTTTCTTTTTCTTTCAGGAATTGATGCCAACATAAAGGATAGCTTAGGTAGAACTGTCTTGGACATTCTGAAAGAACATCCATCTCAGAAATCTCTCCAGATTGCAACACTCTTACAAGGTAAACACTATTGAATGATGGATGAGTTTGCCTTAAAGTTAAGATCAGGTTAAAACTGTTATAGTTTTCTTTTTGATTTTGAGTTAGTGTTTACTTTTGAACAAACTTACTAGTTTTATTTTTTATGGCAGACTTTTAAACTAAATAATAATATCTTTTAGTGTTTTATTTTTGGTCTTTAACTACTCAGTAAGTATTTTAAAGAAGTTAAAGTGTTTATTTACTCATTTGATATTAGAAGTATTTTTAAAATTCATATATATGTAGTAAATATGTATTTATGAGCTGGAAGTTAATAAAGCTATAAAGTAGTGATGATTAAGTATTATTTCACATTTGAATAATACTTTGAGTGTTTTCAGGGATTTGCTACTACTTTGGTTTCTATGACCCTATGAAGTAAGATAAGTCAGGCATTATTTTATTTTTGCACATAAGGGAAACTGAGGCTCTGAGAGATTTGATTTGTTCAAATTCATGTATCTTAAGTGGCAGAGCTTATATCTAAATGTTAGATTATCAATAATAACAAAAATTGTATTTAGCCAAAAGAATACAGATTATTTCCTTCCTAATCCAATGGTATAAAATAACTCAGTCTTACCAGCCTTAGTTTCTGGTAAAAGTCATTTAAGTACATTTGTTGTTAGTGGCAGTCATTAGCTCTGTTGAAGGTTTGACAACTATCTAGGTATGATTTTTGTTATTTGCAGTTTGCATACTTCACCACTTGAACTAAAACTTTTATTAAAAATTAGATTTAAATGCTTTCCTTTCCTGTTTAGTGATTAGGCCTGTCATGTAGCATGTTACTTAAAAACCCCAGATGTTTTTTCTCTCCTTTAGCTCCTACCCTGTTCAGCAGTGATTATTTCCTACACTTGTTATGGATTGGCTGCAAGTATGACAGAGGAGGGTGGTGAGATAGGTTTTATTAGGTGTCAGTTGGGAAGCTGAAGAACAGCATTATTCTGCAGGAAGGTAAATGAATTAAAACCAAGTCAGGCAGGGAACATGTAGATACAGTAGTCAACAAAAGCCAAGGAGGAGTAAAAAGAATAGAAGCACAATATGCGGCCATTGTCCTCTCTTCTCTATTTCCAAAATATTTCAGGGAAGTTCAGGCCCCTACAATTTTCTTATCAATAAAGAAGTTAATTGCAAGTCAAATGCATGCAGAGATGAATCAGAGAAGAATCCAATCATAGCCTTTTATATAAATTAAAATTAAATTGAATAAAAGCTAAAAAATAAGAGTGGCACATACTATTTTTATCAGTCTTCTCCCTCTAGACGCTTTGCATTTCATATTGGATTTTGAGTCTCACTGAATTTTGTTTTTGTGTGTGT